TACTTCTCACATGGATCTATCCGTATCCATTCTTTTCACATGGATCTATCCATATCCATACACTTCTCACATGGATAAATTTTTTTGCTTTTTGTCTGAAGAACTCAGAGATAAAAATAGATAGTTATTAAATGAACAAACTTGCAAATTGCATGATTTTAGCTTTAACTTCAATTGATAAAATCCAAAATACTTTATTAATAGTTTTTCATTTTTTTTTGCTCAAATGAAATAAATTATTGCGGCCATTTTTTTAAAAACAGAATTTTAAAACACAAGTGAGATAATTACAACATTTTCTACACTTTCATAGTAAACGTAGTTATAAACTTTCTTTTTTTAAATGATAGGCTTTGATGATAATACTTTTTTTTATTCTTTTAATTAAATATTTAATTGGCAATTGTTATACCTGAAAGATATTATAGTTTTACAAGACTAGAAAGATGCAGAATATCACTAATATATTTGTTTCACTTGAAAAATAACATGGAGAAATATAAATAAAACAATCTAGTATGTTAGTTCAACTAAAGCTATGTCTGGAAATAGGAAGATTTTAAGGAAATTAAAGAAATAAAAGATAGATAGATATTCCGAGGTTACAATGAACAGAGGACAGAGAAGATAAGAATCACAGGACTCATGCTGTGATACTGAGGACTACTGGAGGCCACACGAGCTTCCATACCCATCCTCCACTCTATATAGATACATATATTTATATATACCCATCCTCAACTCTATACCCATCCTCCACTCGATACCCATTCTCTACTTGATACCCATTCTCTACTCTTTACCCATCCTCAACTTTATACCCATCCTCCACTCTATACCCATCCTCAACTATATACCCATCCTCTACTCTATACCCATCCTCCACTCTGTCAATACACATCCTCCACTCTATACCCATCCTCCACTCTATACCCATCCTCATCTCTATACCCATCCTCCACTCTATACCCACCCTCTACTCTTTACCCATCTTATATGTAGTAAATACCCTACTCCATAAACTGCTCTGGAACATGCATCAGTCCAGGTACAACCTGTCTGCTATAGATGTCAAACTGGAATGATCCCCATGGCGAAAAACCCATGAACTATCAATGCCATTAACAATGGGCGCGATTTTTATAGCTATCGATGTCAACAGAGACAATAGCAATTAATTGATCAATGCCTCAACCAGGACAGAATCCACAAAGCTTAAATCCCTTGAACTATCAAACAAGCTCTTAAGTAATCAATGCCAATTCTCAAGGCACAATCTTATAGGCTCTAAATGTCACACTGGGACACAAGTGTAGCTATCAAACAAGCATTTAATCGATCAATGCCAATTCTCTAGGCACCATCTCAAGTCCTATGTTTCAACAAAACCAAATTACTTTCAAAACTCTAATCAAAGCTGAGTCCATATATCAATTAAGTTAACATGAATCGAAGTAATTACAAGTTTTTATGACCATAAAGCGTAGTTTAAGTTTAATTTACATATTGAGAAGATTAGTGAGGATAGATATAATGTAGTTAAGCTATCTCCACACATGCTTACAACAAATTTAAGTTAAAGGTTTAACATGGATAGATATAAATGTAGTTAATCTAATCACAATGCATTTTTTAATCATATAACATAACTAATGTTTAAAATATCTAGGTATGCTGAAAGAACTTGTGTTCTTTCATTTAAAAACACTTAAAATAATAAATTGGTTTATTTGAGTTTAGTTTATATATGACGAAACTATGTCCGGAGAGTTTGAATGTTCTGTTCGATCTTTGGGTTCTCTCTTCTTATATCTGGGTTGTAGTTTGTTGCTTGGATGGCTTTTAGGCTCCATGGGTTGAATGGTTGGACCCGGGTTTTGAGTTCATGAAAATAAAGTAAATATAAAAATGTTAAATATATTACATCTGTTTTTAAAATAGAATAGATTTGGTGCAGTTTAAAATCCTTTTTTATGTGAAGTGTATTTTTTATGTTTTATCTCTCATGTGTTCTAAGTCTGGATTTAACTGGTTTTGACTCAGTTCCTCTGTCTAAAAAACAAGGTGGGCTTGAAGGAGTGGTCTTTTAAAGGTTAGGCCTGAGAAGATTCAAGGCCTTTGTCTATGCACTTTACTTTACTATGCACTAGAGTATAGGAGTATGTTACAACCAACTCCGCCCAAAAAAAACAACAACAAAAATTTTGGATGTTCAAAGCTTGAGGTAAAAAATAAAATTTGGAAAAAATTTTGTGAAATTTTTTTTAAATTCATTGAAGTGTTTTGTGGGGGCAGTTGGTTAAAGTTGCCCCCCCCCCTGTAGAGACCTAAGGTTGACAAAGCCTTGTGTGCAACTGTAAAAATAAAATTAGCAAAGCATTTATATAAATTCATTGAAGTGTTTTGTGGGGGCAGTTGGTTAAGTTGCCCCCCCCCCCTGTAGAGACCTCAGGTTGACAAAGCCTTGTGTGCAACTGTAAAAATAAAATTAGCAAAGCATTTATTTTTGAGTTTTATTATATTAAATGTTAGTACATTGAAATGATTATCAATCGAAACGAGGGGGCTGTTGAATAAAGTTGCCCTCCTTTAATTTGTGATAGGCATTAAATTTTGAAATCTATTGACATAAAAATTTTTGATTGATAATATAAATTTGTTAGTATTTTCTTTGGCAAAAAACATCTTTCCAGGAAGTCAGGAGTGTTATAATATATTAAAAAAAATGTGTTCTACCAAATAAAATGTTCCACTTTGAGCAAGGGTTATAGCTGGGGTTAGAGGGGTACAAAAATAGAGTTTGCAACCCTGTATTGTGCGCAAGTTAAGTCAAAAATTGTTTTCGATTATGCATGGGTATAATTGTTAATTAGGGTTGGGTAAGATTGCCGCTCTAGCCTCAGCGCTGGGTTATTTTGGGAAGGGGTATTGCGGACAATATTTATAATGCCACGCCTAGTGACAATAAGTAATAATGTTGGGGCTAAAATCAAGAGACCTACTGTTATCATAAGGATGGACAAGAGTATTATGATTACAGAGTTGGAAGGGTTCTTTTCCGAAATACGGTGGATTGCATCAGCAATGAATGTTTTTTTCATTTGATGCGGTAATATAGTTTTTAAGAGAAAGTTTGGTGTTAAGGGAAGAATGGGTAAGTGTTTTGACAAAGTGGTGTGCAGTGTGTATAACTTTATTCAAGTTTTTGCAGTGTCCCCTATAGAGTTGGGTGTGACTCAGAAGGGTAGTTGAGTTGGTAGGATTGTGCTGCTAACTCTTATTTTGATGACGTAACATCCAGGTTCGCTGTCCATGTTCTCGGTTAATGTAGCTGTAGCTTCTCCATTGGGACTATAAGTTATCGTTTTGTTGGTAAGGGTTCTGATAAGGTTGGTAATGATAATCTTGAGGTCTGGTTCAAATGCAGAGAGTTTGAGGACTTGGGCTTGGATTTGATCCTGGAACCTCTGTAGGATGGGGGACAGTGTTGTTCTGGACTTTAAACACAGGCAGTATTTTACTTCCTGATTCTGTGTCTTATATTGAAGCTTTTCTTTACTGAAAACAACACCTGGGTTATCTGGGATGAATTTTCCAAGGGCTAGGATTGGGAGGTCATCCTCCCCGACAGGTTTGTTATCTTTGCTTTTTATGGAGACAGTAGCTGATCCTCCAAATGTCCCGAAGTAAAGTCTTAACTTCAGATAGATGGAGTTGGAGTTTAGGTTGGTGAGCTTAAGTGGTCTGTTGCATGTTTGACAGGTATCAGGTGCTGTGGGTTGTTGTTGGAATATTACATCTTCTTCCTGATAAAGCAGGTCATCTTCATGTTCAAAGATCTCTATCTTGGAGAGTTGTTCTATGATGTTGATGAATGTGTTGTAGTTTTGAACTAATGTTTCTTCATCAATTGATATGAGAGAGATGCAGGAACGCCACCCCACCCCATAAAAATTCTAAGTAGACTCATAGTTTTAACCTAAATCAATTCTTTATAAGTATCTGTAGGTAATATATTCGTGAAAATTTATATAGTGTGTGTAGAATGTAGATTGGGTGGTTTAATAGGGATTTAGACTATGACGTCAGTGCGTAAAATGCATATACATTACAGGGTCAGATAAATCTACGCATTCTGTGCAATTTAAATTTTAATCAGTTTTCCCGGAATATGAAACATGGAGTATAATGTTATCTCTGATGATAACTAAATTAGATTTAACATTGCGAGTTCTAAAAAAACTTTGAATGAAAAGCAAATTCTTTAAAATTTAGCCAATGGAAAGTTCAATTTAACTAAATGAAAGTAAGGATTCCAGATTGTTTAAAAAGAGTGTGTTTCAATTGAATCAGGTTGGGGTCTTAAGTTATGAATTCAAGTTTGTTGAGAGAACCTGCCAGGGTTTTGCGTGCATAATTTGGCAGGTTTACGGTATAATATGGATCTTACAGTAAACTGTCGATAGGCACAAAATATGGGTTACTTTGAAATAATAAAAAGATCATCATTACGTGAAATATTCAAGGTTACTTAATGATATTTTAAATCTCGTATTATTGGTGTAGAATATTGAATATCCACTTAAAGAAACTTGTAGTTTGGACGTAGAAATTAATACTGTAATACAGCATTAAAGTTTATAATTTAAAGTAGGTAATATTTCATTTCAGAGAGAATGGTTTTACGTTCAAAAACTGGCGCGGAGCGCCCTTGATTGGTATAGAAGATATCGTAGGTTTGCCCAGGTTTATGATTGATTTTATTATATAATAGCCGTAGGCAGAAGTATAGGGCGGAGTGGTGGGGGGGGGGGGGGGATAAATTCACAACTTTAACAGTAGAAATGGTTACCAAAAAAATATATAATCAGTGGTCACAAAAATAAAAATTTAATTCCCTATTTCTTTTCCCTTCTGCTGAAAGGTTAGTAATATATGTCGAAGAACACATTAAAATGTAATGAAAGTTGGTTTACAAATGCCGTATGAAGTAAGTTTACATATGCTGTTTGGGCAGGTTGCCTGTGGAATCTACAATCAACAGAACAGTTATGTTTAAAATTGACAAAATCTTGTGAAATTTGTGCGCAGTGTGGACGCAGGAGTGCTGTGCGATACAACAGAAGGTTAGTTAAGACAGTTACTGGACTGAGTGCTGCGATTGGTGCTGAATCAACTAGCTAAAAATGCATGCAAAAAAAAGTGTATTTATGTTATGATATGTACAGATATATACAAGGTATAGGATTGAGAATATAAAACGTTTAATGTACACAAAAAATTAAAGAAGATACTCCTGTTTTAAAAAATTTCAGTTCAGACAAATAGGTTATACTAGCGTACATAAGATATATATACAAGATATAAGCCTTGATTGCTCCAATGTTTATATTGTTATAATACATAGGTGGGGTGGGGTTTAGTACCATAGCAAAAAACTATTCCAAATCCATGTGAATAATTAATTTAACCCGCTGCCCGCAACACCCCGTTAAAACTTTACAGTTTTTTATCCAACCTATTTCAATAAATAGGGCTTCAGCGCATTTATTTCATAGAATAATATGTTACTGGATGTGTAGACATTGTGAGAAAAAAAATTATCTCTTTGGATTTATCGGATAATTCTCAATTGATACGAATAATGCCGTTAAAATTATTTTAGGGCATAAAAACTCTGTGAGTTTGCAAAAATATCAAACATTCAATAATGTTTGTTTCGGATTTCTCCGAGTGAATTGTTATTTGAATAACGCTGTTAAAAATTATTTAAGCGTATATAAACTCTATGAGTTGGCAAAAATATCAAACATTCAATAATGTTCGTTACGAATTTATCTGAGTAAATTATTATTTGAATAACGCCATTAAAATTATTTAAGGGCATGACAACTCAATGAGTTCTAAATAAAATATTGTATTTCAGGACTGATTGGAAGAGTACAGGGAGCTTGGTGCAGCTTGGGGACCTTCGGAATCTCCATGGCTTTCTACCGAGTGAAACTGGGTAAGTAAAAATGAACAAGTAAGAAAAATCGTCTCGGGTCCAAGTATTTAATCGTTTCAACGAAAAAATTAACAAGTTTATTTGCATAAAGTCGTGACGTGCAGAATATACATGTTTATTGTTGCATTTCAAAGATTATCTGTAGAAAATAATAGAAACTTTTTAAGAAAATGAAATTTAGATTCCCAGGGAGGCAGAGTTTAGATCTAGATTATTTAATTTTTGTAAAACTTGCCAAGATTGAAAAAATATGTCAAATTTTGGAGAAAAATTATCGTTTATGAGGAAGGAAAAAATATAGATAAATAACGGAGAACTCATATTTGCAAGAAAAAATGTTTTAGTTTTCAGCAAGGAGATATTTTTGGCATTTATGTTAAAGGAAATCGTAAAAAGAAACTAAAATATATTAATATTTCCAGTTTATGAGCAGTGTGGATACAGAGCCCCATTTAATGAAGGTCTCAATGTCTAAAGATCATACATGGGGACGGTAGGACATTCTGAAAAGGATCTCGAGGGTTTGTCTCTACTGAAATGGCTGAAAGGATACAAGGACACAATTGTGACGAAGGGATTTGTGTTCAGGTGATTATTAATGTAGAGAATACTGTTTTTTAAATGCTTATTAAGATAAACAAAATTAAAATAAAGTAAAGAATGGTATTTTTATTAGGTTGAGAAAAAAATTCAAATTTAGTTTATTTCAAATTAATTGTTTTTCTGCATGATTATGGTTAATACAGCACCTGAACACAAAATCTACGTTTTCTCAGGTTTTTTTAATAAAAGTTCTGGCCATTATACTTGGCAAATTTCTTAGGGAATGAAGAATAGGATTAGACTGTTTTATAATCTCAAGGTTTTTTTTAGAATATATAGGTGCAACATAAGTTTGAATATCCGAATGTATGGAGACAGATGCTGGTGGCATGGAAGCTACAGAGGAATAAAATTCATCATTTAATTCATCATTGATTTTTGCAGAATTAGCTGAGGATGCTAAGGCGTTGAGAGGGGTTGGAGGAGAAATATTATCCGGAGAATCATCCTCAGAGTTTGCAGACACAGAGGAAGGGGCAGGTGTGGTTTTATCAAGTTGCATTTTCTTTATTAGATCTACAAGATTTTTGTTGCCTCTATAATTGTGTGGATCAAATTTAGAACCCATGATATTCTTTAATTTGGTGGAAAGTTCATCGAATATAGGACCTCTAGGTCAGTATTTTTTCAAATCTGGAATTTTGATACAACACAGATCCTGTGACAGGGTTAATGAGGACGCAAAAAGCTTCAGAGACAAATTTGACAATAAAAATCATTTTTTTTATAGGGAGACAAGTATTTTAGGGGCATTTCACCTGCTTTTGGTGGGGTCATATTCTTGAATAAAACTAAGTCCCTGGCCACAAAACTAGGATCTCTGGCTTTCTTATTATGGGCGTCCTGAAAATCCATATATTGTTTTTTTCTGGATTTTTGCAATAAATATGTCAATTTCTTCAATTTTCTCTTTTTCAATCATAAAATAATCTTTTGCACTTGGATCTTTAATTAGGGATGTATTAACAAATAAAGGTCTGGCAGGTCTTCTAAGAAATATTTGGAAGGCGGAAATCAATTCAGACTTTTTTCCTAATTTGAAGATGTGGGGTGTGCTGTTAAATATATAAATCATTCTGTCAAAGTGTTGGATCCAGGTTTTCTCTTTATTTTCAGTAAAAACTCGCATTAAATTTCTAAAATATTTCATGCTCCTTTCAGCTCGAGAATTATGCAGGGGTGAATATGCTAAGGTAATAAACCAATAACTTCTGAGTGGTGTTCTTTTTTACAAGGTTTTGCTAAAATATATCCCGAAAATCGACAAATTGCGATTAAAAAAAAATATTTCCTTGGCTTGGGGGTGTAGAAAAATAATCTAAGCTAAGAACCTGCATAGGAAAGAGGGGGGGTTGGGATGGTGACATAGGGGGGAGTCTATTTGTTGCAATTTTAGCTATTTTGGCAAGTTGCGCATCCTAGGACTAAAAGTTGGACTTTATTTTTCAAATGACGGGAATAGTATAATTCGTTAATAATTTTAGAAAGTCTAACAATCCCTAAGTGTCCATGCATAATATGAAATTAGGCGATCGTATCGGCATTAATACATTCTGGCAATACTATGACAGAATTTGACAGCTAATATTTAAGTCCATATTTTTCATTTTGTGAAGAATATTTTTATTTAAATAAAATCCCTTTTCATCCCTGGTGTTAGACACAAAGTTGGTTTCTAGATTTTCAATAATTTTAATTTATTCAGAATCCTTTCTTTGAGTCGATAATATTTTTAATGGGGTTAGATCTTTAAAGTCATTAAATATGTGGTTAATTTTGTTTATCTCAGGTTTGACGGAAGTATCAAGAGGCTCGGAAGCAAAGGATTTTTTGTCTGACTCAGCTTTGGACTGATTATTTGAAGGTAAGGGAAAATTGAGAAACCAGTTTGGGTTTAGTCTAGCCAGGTCTGATAGTTCTTTATAGGTATATTTTGTACCTTCTTGTAAGTTATGAACAATATCTTTCTTATTAACTTTGCGTAAGGCTGCCATAGAATAACTTTGAAAGTTCTCAGGGTCATATGCTCTTGAAATATAATTGGCAATCAGGAAAGTCGGAGTGTTAACCGGTTTCTCGTAATTTAGTTCAAAGATGATGTCATAATTTGCTAGACCTGATGCGAGTCTACAGAGTTTAGGATTAGGACCTGAAATTTAGATTTAATGAGAAATAATATATTTCGCACGTCAGTTACAACTTTTACGGGGAAGGGAGATTGGTTAATAAAACATTGTACCCTTCCCAGATTATCAATAATGTTTAAACGTTCTAGCTCAAGGGAAGAGTACAATCTGGTTTGGGTTGGATTAAATTTTCTAGAAAAGAATGCTATTGGTTCTTCAATATTTTCTGGAGGTATTTCCTGGTAAAGAACCCCACCCCCCACAAATTGTGAAGGATCACAATTCAAAGATAAGGGGTATTTAGTATCTATGTAGTTCAGTTTCATATTAGATGTAACAAGTGTTTTCAAATTTTCAAAAGCTATTTTCTGACTTTTCCCCCACACAAGGGGAATATTTTTATTTAATAGTTTAGTAATTTCTAATAAATGTTCTTGGCTGTCTGCAATAAACTTTGCAATGTAAGTAAAGGCACCGATAAAACGTTTGAGTGATTTTAAATCTTTGGGTTTAGGTAAATTCATAATCATTTTAATTCGTTTGTCTGTTAATGTTATCCCTTCCTTTGCAAAATTGAATCCTGAGAATGTAAATTTATTGACAAAGCAAGAACATTTATTAAGGGACAATTTAATTCCGTTTAACTGAAAAAGTCTCAGGACCTCTGTTAAGAGGAGTCTGTGCTGTAAACGTCCTCAACAGACTAGTAAAACGTCATCGGAGTAAATTATTACTAAATGTTTCTTAATTAAATTTGCTAAAATGTCAGGCAAAACAAAATTGAACTTACTATTGACGCATTTTAATCCAAAAGAAGAGCGGAGAAACCTAATGGTTGTGTAGTCTGGTAAAATTGCGTTAAGAAAAAAAGATGCGCGGTCAGTTAGAAGTAGTGAAGAGTGCGCTGACTTAATATCTAAACTTGAGAAATATAATTCATTATCATCAATATTATCAATATTATCTTTATCTAGGAATTGGCTGAGAGCTGGGCAATCAGATGAATTGGAATTTTCAAGTTTAGAGTGTTCCTCCGAGTCTAGAGATATTAGTTCTGAGACAACCTGTTCTGGATTCGGAGAGCAGGTAAATTCAGGGCGGGTTATTACATTTAAGCTACGGACATCCAGACAAACACGGAAAATTTTGCCAATTTCTGAATCGGTAAATATTTCAGGGTTTTGTCCAAAAATTTCTGAACGCTCGTGGATTTCTATATTACTATCTTTTTTAAGTCTTTCTTTAATTGCAGAGAAATCTGTTTCAGATAGATGTTTTTTCGCCACAGTTAATTGCGAACCATGGGTTCGCAATTGACTGCTTTCAACAATACCGCAGCCAGCCATGTTTGAACTATGCGCGCGCAAGCAAGTTTATTTATATCATTGGTGGGGTAAGGTAGGTCCAGGGGTAAAGGGTTGGACTTGTCAAGAAGTTCAATATCCACATGATATATTTTTTTTGTAATTTTACCAATGTCAGAAGGACCTGTAGAAATGGTGCCAATATATGTGTTAACAAGCGTTGTTAAAAATTCTCTTTCTAGAGGGCAACTTCTGGCAAGAAAATTGATAGATTCCTGTTCAATGCATTTTACATCTAAGGGGGGAAAAGATTCCGGCTCATTAAGAATTGATTCTGCAATTGTATTTTTACTGGCAGCGTACTTACCTTCTTTGTAAATAGTTTTAGGCACGTTAATTTTGATAATTTTATCAGATTTAGGAATACAGCAGTCAAAAAGTTGCAAGTCTAAAAGAACATGTTTTAACGAAGTTAAGAAATCCTCAATTAAATTCTCATTATTATAATGCATGATTAAAGTTTTGATATTTTTTGAAAGAATAGATTTTATAAAAAATACACCTACTGGGGTGTCCTGAATATTTTGGAATTTTTGCGTCCTGAAAACAAAATTGATGTAATTATCATTTTTCTGATCCAAAAATGAACTGGTTTTATTGTTTTGAGACTTTTTTTATTTTAGAGATTTGGTTTTTTGTTAAACTTAGGCACTGGCAATGTATGGTTTCACACATACTTTTAAAATTTTCATCTACAAAGATTACATTTGCAGTTTTAACATTTAAACTCTTTATTTCTACAAAAGTTTTGTTGTTAATCTCAATATGTATTTCTTTCTTTTTAAGTATTTTTTCATGTAGAAATTCATTTTCTACATGTTTAGGTTCACATATTTTGTTGAATACGCTTGATATGTCATTGGATAATTTATTCATAATCACAGGGTGTCTCAGCAGCTCTGTAAACTTTTTATTTGGCCTATAATCAGAAAAAGAGCGGCCCTGCTTTACCGGGGACACATATTCCAGTATCCCATAGTTTTCCCTGAAATTATGCCCTAAATTATCCAATATAACATTATTTCGTACTGTGACCATAATAGGTTTAAATTGCTCCGGGCAAGGTTGTGAAGGTTGGCTTATATCGAATATCTTATGTAGCTCTGTATAGGACCCAAGGCATGGTAGCCTTAGGTCATGAGACAAATCGCAACCTCTTTTGTGGGTCTGGTGTGCATGCATTTCCAAATGGTAAACACCCTTTTTAATGGAAATATTTAATGTAGGATCTAGCCCAGCAAACAAAAACTCGAGTTAAAATCGAGTAAAACTCAACTTTTGCCTTCCAGAAGTGGAGTTTTAATCGAGTTTAAAAGTGGAGTTTTAATAGAGTTTAAAAGTGGAGTTTTAATCGAGTTTAAAAGTGGAGTTTTAATTGGCTATAGTTTTGCCATACAAGGATTAAAACTCAACTTTTCACCAAGATGATTTCTGGATGATTTCTGGATGATATCTGGATGATGAAAAGTGGAGTTTTAATCTAGTTTAAAAGTGGAGTTTTAATCGGCTATNATGAAAAAAAATAGGGCGAGGGGAGGGGGGTGCGTGAAATGCAGTATTCACCAGAAAATTCCACATAGTTTAACATTGTCCAAAAAAGCTGCTTTTTTGCAAATGAACTCAAAAATATGAATTGTGACTGCAAAATTCAGCTTAAAAGATATCAAATTAAAATTGCATGCAAAGGCTATTTGAGAAAAACATTGAATGAACTTAATTTAATTCAAGACGCTTTTAAACATACTTAAATACTTTTGCACAAAAAACATAAGTCCTCCCGCGATATGTAAACTTAAACTTTTTACAAAATTTTTTTTTAAGGAATGTTCTTTGGTAAAATGCAAACATTGAAAATCCAAGGATTTGAAAATTTAGTCCTTCAAATGAATGTTTTTTTTTCTCTATAACTCAAAATTTGAGCTACATGTAGAAAAGTATCTAATACTCCCCTCCCCTCCTCCCCTCCCCTCTACCTGTAGGGACTTGAAGACCGTCTTCGGGTAGACCTGGAGGGACTTGAAGTCTGGCTTTGGGCAGGCAGGTCCAGTTTATTCCTTAAAAACTTAAATTAAGGAAGAAAATTTTGTTAATTAAATGAAATCAATAATTGCATATCTAAGAGTAGAAAAATGCACTCCCCTCTCAAAATATGCTTCTTTTATTTTCCTTAGTTTTAGGTTTTGATGGATTTTAGCTTCCTTGTTTCTTTTTCCCTCCCACTTCTCTCCTTTGGATTTATCGAAGGTTATTAATTTTTTTGAGGAAACCCGTTTAAGCTGGCTACAAAACAAGCTCTTCAGAACTCTCCCTTCCCCCTCCCCTCCCCTCCCCTCTACCTGGAGTAGCTTGTTTTGTAGCCAGCTTAAACGGGTTTCCTCAATATGTTACCCAAGCAGAAACCAATAAAAAAGGAAGAGACTTTCTTTACTTTAATGATTTTCAAAGAAAAAAAAAAATTAACAGCTGAAGGGCAAGAACATTAGGAAGCATTCAGTAAAAAGTTTGTACAAACGTCTCAGAAGTCTAATCCTTTGTAAATAACCCTTTAAACTTTAAAATCTATGCGTCTAATGCTTATTAGACTAGTTGAACTCATAACTCAAGTTTAAGGTCTTCCTATTGTAGAGTTTTCTGGTCATCACTGTAAGTAAATTTTGGGCATGTAATTCAGTTTAGTATCTTACAGAATGGCAGAATTGAATTAAAAAAAATAAAAAAGATCTAAGTGTGGAGTTGAGAACCCCCTTCCAAATTATTTTTGGCAATTTCACATCACTATATTATCCAAACATGAAAGTTTTGATCATGCATGTTGACAAAAAATGCATGAGAACAGGGTCAAAAGTATAGTATAAATAAAGGTAATAAGAGACTCAATCGAAAAAAAAAGGCAGAAACAATCATTAAATTGAAATATCTAAATCAAAAAGTCATAAAAAAATACTTACTTCTTAACTTTAGGTAGTCCCTCTCCCTCCTCCCCAAATTTCTCTATAGGTCGCCTCTTCCTCTTGCCATCTAAATGGAAATTTTTAATTACAGACACTTTCTGGGCCCCGTGCTGCGGCTGGGACAGGCTAGGGGGGCCGAGCGCTGCGGCCACATATCTTACATTTAAGATCCATGGACAAAATTGATAGGGGGAGGGGGGTTCAAAAACCGTTATCTAGGAATGTACCAAAAACCGTTATCTAGGAAATTACCGAGCTATTATTTAAGTTGTATTAATTCAGGATTAGGTAAGGTAAAGACGATTTCTTTGCCAAGCGCTGGGACTAGGATAGGTAAGGGGGGCCGAGCGCTGAGGCTAGGGGGTTAGGCACGGCAACCACATGACCCATTGTATCTATGTGACACAATATGTGATCCACGGGGTCCAAAAATTGTATACTAGGAAATTATCCAACTTTTATCTAAAAAAAGGTCCAACCTTGATTCTTGATCCTAAGTCTTCTTTTTTTGGCGTAAATTCTGTCATATTCTTTTTTTCTTCGATAACTCATAGTCATTGATTGAATTTTCATTTCAAAACTGTTGGGGAACTAGTTTAAGTACACATATATTCCCCATCCAAATATTCCCAAGTACACAATGTGGGTTTATCCAGGGAGCTTTATATCTTGAGTACCAACATATTCCCTGCTCGAATAATTTTAAGTACACAAATTCTTTTTACATCAATCCGGCTAGGGAGAGTTTGAGTACACATATATTCCCCATCTAACTATTCCCGAGTACACAATGTGGGTATATCCAGGGAGCATTATATCTTGAGTACCAACATATTCCCTGCTCAAATAATTTTAAGTACACAAATTCTTTTCACATCAGTCCGGCTGGGGAGAGTTTGAGTACACGTATATTCCCCATCTAAATATTTCCGGGTACATGAGTTTCCCTATGACATGATTTACCCAACGGACATTTAGAGTTTGTTTTCTATCCTTTATTGTTCCGTGAATTTATTGATTACTTTATTCACTTTGTCCGTGGAGGGAAGCTGTAGAGGAAAAATACATGTTTATATCTATGTATTAGGGTAAGTGCTTCATATCTTGATCCTGCTTTTCTAATCTATATCTCTTCTTAAATTGTCCCGTTGCTTCATATAAAGTTCTTGCCTCTGAAAAAGGAAAACTAAAGTTTTAACAATTTTGAGTTGCTTAGAACCTAGAGCATGGCTCTACAAGTTCTGATAGTTTTTCATCATAATCAGGTTTAGTGCTTAAAATTGTTCCTAGTTGGGATTCAATTCTATTTGTTAGTTCTAACAGACTTGCCTCTATTTGTTGTAATTTTTCTTTCTGATCATTTAAATTACCTGTCTTGGATAAATGTTCTTTTATTACCTGGATGTCGTCTTCATTCTCACTGATTTCCGAAAATTATTTATTTATTTTTGAGGAAATTTCTAATAAATTTACATCATAATCAGGTCTGACAGAGTCCTCTTTAAAAGTGCAAGCTAGAGAAAGGTTCAAGAGAATTAGCAGAAACAGACTAATGAAAAATCAAAATCAGGAGAATCAGGAGTAAGGAAGCCAAAGAGATTGGAATAACGAGAGACTGAGAAACAAACGTGGAAAAAAGATTATTTCTCGAATCGTATCAATCGATGATATATCTAGTGAGTAGAGAGTAAAGAGTAGAGAGTAGAGAGTAGAGAGTAGAGAGTAGAGAGTAGAGAGTAGAGAGTAGAGAGTAGAGAGTAGAGAAGAGTAGAGAGGAGAGAATTTGGGACAGAAACAAGTTTTTTTAAGAAAAGCTTTTACATTTTGAACTTGGCTGATAAAGTTGAACAGACATTGAGCTGAGACATTTAGTACATGGTTCTTGAGATGGCTCCTGTCCTTTATATTTTTGGCATCAAACCGATTGATGAGACTGTTCATTACACAGTCGACAGCACGTAAAGCAGGAAGTTTTCCTTTTTACAATATTTATCAATGTGTCCTTGTTTGAAACAATTTTGGCATGTTTTAGTTTTAAAACAATTATTATTTTCATGACCAGGTTTTTCACATATTGTACAAAAACGTTCCTGATTTATACTGCCATCTTCTGTGGTTTGAAGCATATTAAAAGAGTTCATTTTTGATTTATGGGTTTTTCCTAAATAAGCATCGATTTCAAGTTTGTACTTATATAATATATCAATTATATTAGACAAAAGTGGATGTTTTCCTTCAATTAAAGATTCAAAAGTGTCGACATAATCAATTAACTTTTCTTGAACCCTTGGTGAAATTACATTTTCACAAGCATGAATAAATATTTTTGCCTGCTCCTCAATGTCTTTCTGACTTAATGATAATAATTTTAATATATCTGCGGTAAAATCTTTTAGGTTATTATATGATTTTTTATTATTCATTAATGCACTGAAAGCCTCTCGCTTTGAGTAATCCTGATCATAAATATTTTTTAAGGTATTGTAGAAATCTTCTAAATTGGAAACATTATATGATCTTATTGCTGTTTTAACCTTAGCGGACAGTTTTTGATTAATAAAAATTTCAAATTCATTTCTATTTACTTCAAAAGCAAGACCTTCACAAGTTTGGTTTAGGTTGCATAATAAATCACAGATGGAGAATTCCTGTGCGTTATCAAAAATTGGAATATTCGCAAATATTCCCTGATATTTTGATAGACAATCAATATTAATTCAATTTTTGTGGAACTCAAGTTTTTGGTGGAGAAATATTAACATGGTCTTGGCATTTATTTAAGCTCAAAAAGATCTGAGAAGCGGTATTAGACTTATTTTGCGTATTATATTTGTCAAAAATATTCTTAACTATAATATCTAGCTTATTACCACAAATGGATTTTTTTGTCCAATTCATTCGTGAAATCGCTCAAGACACCAATCCTTTCAAGCTTATTTTTTTCATCTAGGAAAGGATTGTCATCATTTTCATTACTAAGGATATCTGATGTATTATATTTTTCCAATTGTTCTTTTTTTTCTGAACTAAATGATCTACTGGGACTACACCAATCGACTTCGATGTTGGTTTAAACATTTTACTTTACTTTACTCAGCCAGTTTAAATCTTCAACTAACAGCGTATCCACAACGTACAACAGGATATCTTAAAAAGATGGCCTCCGCCTTTCCTATATACTCTGCTAATTTCAGACAAAAACTAAAGATAAAAATTAAGCTTAAGTCCCCCCAAAAAAAACAAAAATCAAAAAGTTTAAATCTTCAACTAACTGCATATCCACACTGTAAAACAGGATATCTTAAAAAGTGTAGTGAATCCCTGTTTTCCTGAAACCTTGATTCCTAACAATTTCAACGTTAAAAATAGGGTGACATGGAAACGCCTCAACACGGAAACGACTCAACACGGAAACGGATCAAAAATTATTTTTGAGGTGTTAAAATAACTAGCAGAATAGTTTAGTGTAATGCCAACCTTGTTATATCTCCTAGTCCTCTCCCCCCTTCAGTCATCAGCAGAATTATCTAAAAAATGTCAAGGTTTATTTAAGTGCCAAAAAATTGCAAAGAGGAAAAAACTAATTTTGAGCATCTCGTTTGTTTTGTAGCTAAAGTAATATGTACCAGGAGCATCCTCAGAAATTTGTAAGTGGGGGGGGGGGATAATATATTTGCCCCCTCTCTCCCTGAGTTCACCTCTGACTATCACCTCAAAAATCTCCGTTACAGTAATGCGGCCCATATGGATTGAAAAATAGAGTATAAATCCATAAAATTTAACACACAAGTCTACCTGTTCATCCATTTTGTCTGGTTCTGTGCACAGGTTGTCCAACTTTTGGAGATCTTCAACACTCTTCAGCGGTAGAAATTCTTCACTGGCTTTCAACCACCCTTTCTTCTTCTTCTTCAGGAAATCAAGGTCTCTTCTAATACCCTCCAGAGCCTTCAGAACTTTTTCTTCAAACCCATTCTTTCCATCTAAATGATAAATTCATTACAAAAGCTAGAAACAAGAAAAATAACAAATCTTACTATTTGGTTATTAATGTAATATCCAAGTAATATATGATTTCCTAAAAAATCTTTCTTTTTTCTCCCTAGAAATTGGGAATGTTGGCTCAAAATTATATGCCGAATGAGGGAGAGTAAATGAGTTTGGGGGTTAAACCCTTAATTTAAAATTTTCATTGCTTCCCTAAATTTAAATGTTTTTTGTTTATTTTTGCACTGAAAGCTGACAAAAGCTTGTGAAGGGGAGGGGGGAGGGTTTAAAGCTTAATCTTTACACATACCCGATCCAGATCCTCGTGCTTCTTTAGATCCAGAACCAGATCCAGACCCGCGATCTGCTGTTGATCCAGACCCGCGATCTGCTGTAGATCCAGAGCCACGATCTGCTGTAGATCCAGACCCACGATCTGCTGTAGATACAGAGCCACGATCTGCTGTAGATCCAGACCCACGATCTGCTGTAGATCCAGAGCCACGATCTGCTGTAGATCCAGACCTGCGATCTACTGAAGATTCAGACCCACGATCTGCTGTAGATCCAGACCCACGATCTGCTGTAGATCCAGACCCACGATCTGCTGTAGATCCAGACCCACGATCTGCTGTAGATCCAGACCCAAGATCTGCTGTAGATCCAGACACACGATCTGCTGTAGATCCAGACCCACGATCTGCTGAATTAAAGAGAATAACTGAATTTGGGGATAAAACCTTCCTATTCAAATTTTCATTCCCCTTGCTTGCCACATCTGTATTTAAGCACTAAATATTACTTTAGATCCCTTTAAGTAGTGTGTTTAGGTTTTTAAGCCTACTAAACATCTTGCAAATTTCATAAATAAATCTTCAATGAAACCTCTTTCTCTTAAATGCTGTTTTGACCTTCAAAATTAGGGCTAATATTAGAAAATGTGCTCTGTCTCTTTAACAATGGGACCAAGCACATTTTTGAATATTATACATCATTTTAAAGTTTGAACGGCATTTCAGAAAATTTAAAAACTTCCTGCAAGCTTGAGGATAACTAAAAACTAAAAATCTCAAGGGGGCATCGCCCCCCAAAGACCCTCAGAGGGGTTGCAAAGGTACCTCCGACCCCCCCCCCTGTATCCACCCCTGAATGTGTTTAAATTAATTTACCTAGCTGGTGCATCAGCAACAATCCCGAAAAGTTTGAAGCTAATAAACTTTCGTCCTACCAACATTCCCTGCTGGATGACAGAGTTCACTTGATTTATTGTTTCCTTAATGAACTCAAGATTTGTAGGCTTACTTGTCCCACAGAGAACAATTAACGGGAACACAATTAGAGGTAGTAGGTTTCTGAATGTACAGAGAAGTGGCCAAAGAACATGTTTTGAGCTCTTGAACAATGGTAGACCATCAAAATTCATTTGAACTTGAACCTCGTCCGGTACACTGGATTCAGGATACCTAGGAAATAAGCATAAATTACACATATTTTAACCATGAAAATTAAGTTACCAAAACTTTCCCCATTAAAGGGACCGCATAAGTAATTTCAAGTGACCCATTAGTTTAAGATGGGGCATACCAGAATTACATCTCTACTCTTTAAACTTTTCTCAGATTAATGATAAAGATGCCATTAGGTTTTTTTTTGGGCTACAAAAATGTTAAATCCATCCAATTTAGCTTTCTAAGTAAACCTGCATTTAAAATGATTAATTTTTACAAAGAGAACTTGGATAACTATCAAAACAAGGGGTACAATTGAGTATAAGACATGTAACGTTATATTTGGAGGGCGATTAGAAATTATGTCTACACTCCCTGAATTTTCATTAAATACATATGTTTAAAATTAACAAGGAGGATCTAACAAAAACCAAATAATGAATAATAGAAATCTTTGAAAATGTAATACTTTTTTATCAAAATAAAATTAAATAAGGTTGATCCAATACATATATCCAGATAATTAAAGGGGTGTACATTTATTTAAAAATCTCCCCCCTCTTTTGAAAATCACATTTTTCTTAGAAGTACATAAGTATTCTTCCCCAGAAGTTTGTATTATTATTATTTAGTGATTTTAATTGCTAAAATGTGGAAAATAATTCGAGTTTTAGAGGAAAATAAATAAATTACCAAAAAAACTTGCCTTTAGGTGTCAAATGTATCATCCCCACTCCCAATTTTTAAATTAATCCCCCCCCCCACCCCCGGGAGCGGGAGATTATTTTAGATTTAGAATGATTTATCATATATCCATATATATTTATCAGTTATAAACTTAAAAAGATAGTAATAATGACAAACAAACAATGAGTTTAATTACCTATTCAGAACCTCTCTAAACTTGTTCTCAACAGGGTATCGATGCATGGTCATGCCCGATGCTTCCTCTACAGGGAAGCCTTTACCAGTTCCCAATAAAGTACGAGCTGTAAGAGGCAAGTCTAAACATTTCAAGAATTAGATAAATTGCATAGTTGTATAATGGTTCCATTATAAATATTAGGAAAAATGTAAATTATCTGTAAAGGGGGTGTAAATCTATGTGTTAAGTAAACATTTATACAATGCAGTGCAAAGCATCTATTTTATTCTGATCCAGATCCAGATCCTGAAAAAAGGGATCTGGATCCAGATAATTACTTGTTTGTAAATAGCAGTTTTCAGAGCTACAAAAAGTATTTATTTTAACAGGTTTAGAATGTTATTTTGCCTTTTCATATACCCAGTGTTAAGGATCCGGTTCAGTGGATCCGCTTTTTTTTGGGGCATTAGAGCGCGAAAATGTTGCGGATCCAACAGATCCAGATCCTAAATATTAATATATGAAAAGACAAATACTGTTTCCAGGCCTGGCTTCCCCCCCGCCCCCCCCCCCCCCC